AAAGAATTCATTTAATGCACTTACATTCAAAAAACAAGTTTATATGTAGATTACGTTATGTTGAGGAAAATTGTGTGATATGATTGAAAGTTCTAGAACAACTAAATGGATTTTGAGGAGGGATTGTTTTGTCAATGGCTGTTTTTTTGAGGTCAAGAATGATCTTTTATAACTTTCAATCACAGAAAAGACAAAGTCCATCAAAGGATCAGAAAAATTAACATTTACAATTCCATGGACCTGCTGTATTAGAAGAAGCCTTCGAAAGGGTCTGTCCTCAAATGCAGCCTCTAAAGGATGCAGCCACTGAATTGAGACGCAGCCTTTATTACAGGATCATTTGATAATATTAAAATCTCCAGAATAGCTAAGAAATTGACTTCTGAGGTGGGATTGTTTGGTCAAATATGCTTCTCTACTTGGAAAACAGGAGGCTGGCTGCATACCTCATGTTAAGATGCTCGAGCATGTAAGGAATCTGATTTAGTGACTGGCTGCATATTCTGTATGTGCATGTTATCAGCGACCAGGCCACGTTGAGTTCTCAGACACAGTCAAGGACCCCATGACATCACACTCCAGAGTATGAGAGCTCACACGCTTTTGTAAGGTCAGCCACTCAATTGTTAAACAGCTGAACCTGTGGTGTGTGTGTGTGTGTGTGTGTGTGTGTGTGTGTGTGTGTGTGTGTGTGTGTGTGTGTGTGTGTGAGAGGGAGAGAGAGAGAGAGAGAGAGTTTTAAGGCGTAACCTGGTCCTTTTGTTTGTTTCTGAATCTGTGCCCTTTTCATAGCGTGATTGTGTTTTATAAGCACATTTAAAATGATTGTTAAGATATAAACAAACAGTACAGTATTTTCCTTGCACAAGTTTCTTCGTTCTGTGTGAGTGTGTTTGTGACATTGTTCGCCACGTTACAGATCCAACAGCCAACAGAGTGAAATAGATTTTAAATTAAAAAGAGCTGAAACAGGTGTGTGTGTGTGTGTGCCTGTGTGCGTGCGTGTGTGTGTGGGTGATGGGAAGATAAAGACTGAAATGAGAATGGGAGAGATTGAAAGAGGAGGATCTGGGGAGATGGAGTGATATGTGGTGACTGATAAGATGGCACGGAGAGAGGAAGGCAACTGATAAGAGAGGAACTATTGGTAGAAAGAAGAGGAGGAATGAGAAAGATCTGCCAGAAGCCTTTATGAAACATACTGTGTTTCTGTCACTGCCAGGAATAAAAGTCATATTCTCTTTTTTTGCAGAGTTGCGCTTTGACTAAATAACACTTGCATTCCACAAAAAATTGTGGACCCTGGTAGTCTGCTTGTTTAAAAGGTTAACTATGGCACTGACTGTGTGTAGACATTCTTTACAAGCAACATCTCAATTTTTAGTTCAAACTTTTTCTCATATACACAAATTGTGTGCGCCCCCATCTCAGTCTGTGTATGTGTCTGTGTTTCTACAACTGTGGTTTCGAGCAGCTGTGCCTGGATCCATCAATGTGCTTTTGCAGTTGCCTTGATGTGTCATAAAATATTAATTCAAATGTGAATTCCATTTAAATTTCAAATAGAACTGATCTCAGGATTTTCTGTTTTAGATTTTGAATTCATAAATATTGCATTATAGCTAGTTTAGTACTATAAGCATTCCTAGTAGGCTGAAAGAAAATTTGTTGCTAACAAGTTAAGCCTTGTCAGGTTTAGATATTACATACATAATATATAATAATTGGAATCATTTCGGAACATCTGAGGATATCATTTCTAAGAATACATTAAAGCTACAGTTGGTACCTGGAAACGCAGGCCACACTTTAAAAATATCCCACTTTTCTGTGACATGGTTCCTAAATTCCAGCTTTTGAAGTTTGTAGTGAAAGAGCGGGTTTGTGTATTTATTGACTGCCATCAGATGGAAAGAGGATTCCAATAAATAAGGGTTTTAGAAAGTACTTACAAACTCCACCTTTTAAATTGTGTTTACACGGATAATATCCAGTCATGCATATCTTAATCTCTAGCAGTGGGCAGTCACACTTGACAGTGCAAAAAACTGTCTGACTCATTTAAGCAGTAAATACTCAAATTATTTACAAACAATAAGAATACTGTTTTTACAAAATCTGCAAAAGTTGGTGTTTCTGCCTGTGCTTGTTTCTGCACAACAATGTGAAGCTAGTGCTATGCTATCCCGTAGGTACTTTTTGTTAGGGTCCTTCAGGTTTTGTTTATTTCATCATCAGTGGCTGTTGTGTGGAATGTGTTGTCCCCTCCAATTTGTAGGATCTGCACCAAGTTGTCTATGCTAGATTGTGTGGTCACGATGCTACTTGCGTCGTCCAAGCAGGCTACAGGGAAATATAAATAGCAAGGACTTTGCATCTGTGGTGTGTCCGCAGCTGTCCGCGTCCATAGAGGAGTATAACTGAGGTTACACTATGTGCTTCTGTCTGCCTGCATATATGTGCACATGTTTCTTGCATACACATGTATGTGTAATAGGTTCTATCATATCTGGGTCATCTGGTCTCTCCAGCAGAGAGCGATAAGTTGTTAAGAGCAGAAAGGCCAAGTAGTGTGTACACTGCTCAGCGTGTTTACATGTGTTCCTTTGTGTTTCCTTTTTTATGAATACACTCTGTTTCCCTGTGTCCCCCGTCCCCGTCCCCGTCCCCCCACCAACACCTCACCCACACCCCCTTTTAATGCCCACAAAGACACACTTCAATGGCAAAAAAGAACGAGCAAAAATGCTGAACAAACACAGGGGAAAAAAACCTTCGGGGGAATTCCTCAAAGTGAGCAAAGATATTCTGTCAGAACATTCACACACACACACACACACTGAAATACACAAGCTCTGTTCAAAATGGTAAGTGGACGAATGAAAGCCGCAGACGTTATCAGTTTGAGGTTTACCCCTGGATAGAAACACATTTAATCAGCAGCAGTCAATCAAACACTGAAACTGAATTCTCATAAGCCTACTGTAAATAAACATAAACAAAGGGACACACACATAAACACACACTCACACACACACACACACACACACACACACACAACTAAAGATAACTTCTCTGGCACAGCATGTTACTGTAAGACCGTGCAGTGGATTAAAGAGCTGTTAAAAGTCTGTGCACCGTCCAACTATCAGTCTGTCTTAATAGCAGTCATCACAGTGGATCATAGATTTTGTGCAACTTAACATTATCAGAAGATCAAGAGAATTGACTTTGATCAAATCAGTTTGATTGGTTATCATCAGAACATAAATATCAGGTGTCTCTATGACTGTGACAGCAGAGATTGAGTGACTGTCTCATATCACCTCTTGAACTCTTGTGATAGACTGATTAAACACTGCTGATTGGGAAATTCAACGATTTCACAAATCCACCGGCATCATCTGTCAAGCCCACAGCTTCAAGTTACTACTAAGATGAAGCATGTTTTTCAGGCATGTCTCTTAAGGGAAAAATGTGGAGAACAAAAAATACCAAAATCATCACAGGGAGTTCCCAAATTATCAGTTTGACATAGGGCAAGTGTAGACTGCTCAGGGGTATGTGCAACAAAAAAAACTAGTTTTTGCAGGTTTAATTGAAATGAATGAGAAGATAAGTCACTGCATTGTAAATGTTGAAAAATCAGTCAAATTTAACACCCTGTTAACATTTATTACGCAGATATTTTGCAACATATTTCCTGTTTTTCCAACTGCTAACAGTTTTTTAAGTCACTAAATGGAGATTTTTACAATTACATAAGAAACAATAACAACAATGGCAGCTACATAACATTTTCTCTGTTCGGTTACCACTACTAGATCTAAATACAATTCACTTGTGGCTTCGGTCTCTCCTCTCTCACAACAGCCGTATCTGTCATTGTTTATGTCGATCATATTCACATACAATTGGACAAGACCCAGCAGTGCTTTGCTTCTGATGGTCAACAGATGGATAATTGACTGATCCCAGGGGACATAAATGAAAAGGCACTGCTGGGATTTGAACCCAGGATCTCCTGTTTACTAGACAGGCGCTTTAACCAACTAAGCCACAGCGCCTGGTGACCATAGAAGAATCTGGATTTTGTTGCAGCCTGTGCTCAGTAAATGTATGGCAACTGTGGTCCAGGTGATTGGTAAAGAAATTCCTCACGAAAAGCTCAACACAGTGATTAAAAAAAGGTATTTGATGAGGGGACAAAGGCCAATGGAACGTTTGCGACTTGTCTTGACCTTCATGTTATCGTGTGTGAGGTGAAACAGGCCTCAGGGGCAGTCTTCCAGTTTAGAACCTAATACAGTGGTATTTTCATGCCAAAAGCAACCCTGCAGCTGTGTGTGTTTGTATGTGTGTGTGTGTGTGTGTGTTATCAAAGGTACATTAGCACTGTGACACCAGCCTCATGGCCAAGTGAAAAGTAAGCACTCCGCACCTGCAGGAAGTTAGATAGACGACCTGACGACTGCAGCTTGCACCGGTGAAGCCCCCCCCCTCCCTATTCATTTCTCATGATGTGGAAAAAGTGCATTCAGCTTCCTCTGGGCCCACCTCACATCATTTTACATGTCTCCTTCACTCTATTACTGCATTAACAGTGGGACAACAGGTCATTTACTACCACAAAGCATGCTGACAAACAATGGGTGTCTATTTGAAGCAACACCAGCAGCTACCACAACAACGTGAGTTGTGCAAGAAGAGTATCATTTATTATATTCACATATAATTCAAATGCAAAATTGATCCTCTCAAATCAGTTTTAGATCAAATATCATGATGACAAAACTAATCAAATGATGTATTTATGGGGGGAATCTTGCTTTATCTTCCTTCACAGATGGTCTATTGGTTCTACAGTTATAACACGACTTTAGTTAAAAAAGAATCTGAATCAAATTACACTCCCACAATAAAGTCACTCAATTTCATGTTTAAGTTTTACAGAGACATTGTGCACAATATGAGAGAATAAGGATATGAAGACAACTCACCGTCTCTCCTCATGTTGCCTCTTATCACTTTGACCGTGGAGACCTGAGCCCTCCCGACCCCGGTTAAAGCCCCTAACAATAAAACCATCCACATCTGGAGAAACAGCGGTGCGCACATGGCGACAACAGACTCCTTAAACCTTTGGTGTCGTCTTCACCCCCCCAGTGAGTCAAAAATAAAAGTTAGTGTCAGAGCAAACTTTCCATTCAGTGACTTGAAGCTTCCGCACTCCTCCCCACTTGGCTGCTGCGCCCTGACGCTTGTCGCGCACCGTGCTGTGCCTTCCTCTCACAGTGAAGCCTCCGATACAACTCCGTGCAGGTGGGGGATGATATAGCAGTGTTCACGGTCACAGCTCAGACGGAAGGCGCCTCACTTCTTATCGCTGTTTAGAAAGAATTCTGTTCAGTCACCGAGAGATTTCCCGCATTGTTAACTATTGTCTGTCTGACGCGTCTGCGCTTCGAACCGACCGTGCCAAGTCAGTGGTGTGCGTGCGTGCGTGCGTGTGTTTGTGTGCAAACCATGCAATATGGACTGGCAGTAAGCAAGAGAGGAGAGATCGGTCAATAGACTTTAGACGTAAGGCTATCTATCGGTCTTACTGTCTGTCTAAGAATCAGATGATCAACAATTATGTAAACAACAACAATAGGATGACAATATTAATGTAATTAAGGAAATAAAATATACAGAATTGTGGTAATGGTAAATTCAAGGTATGAATATTTTTCATATTGTGTCAAAAAGTGTAATTCTTACACCACAGCTTCCATGATGTCTCATCGAGGACACGGCCTGATCTCTTGTGGGCAGCCCGCCTCGCTTCTGTCTGCTTCTCTCTGCTTCTCTCTATGACTGTGGTCACTGTCGATGTCTTTCTCAAGTTGGAATTAGTGACTGTGGTACAACATTATACTGTTTGTTTTGGATTGTGTTGTGACTGTGTGATGTCATTTCAATAAGTGTATTTTTACTTTTTCTAGCTGTTGGAGAGGAAACACAGGACAGAGTGGAAGTCTCTTGAATTAGCTAGGCGCTGCTCTCAGACTTCAGGAAACAGCTGATATGAGTTCATTTGGATTCTGATGACAGAACATGTCATACCATTAAGTAGAAGGACACTCAATAGAGCGCATACCTCCGCCAAGGTCCAACAGTCGCCTTACTTAACCAAATTTCAATGCACTAGATCCAGATTTGGATCTATACCAAAATTTTCACACTCATAAATATGAGTCTGCTAAATGTGTCTCATTCTTTATATCAAGATCCATGAATTGTTCTGAGAAATCCACTACAAATCTTGTGACGTTATTGAAAAGTGAAAAGAAATACATGTCCGAGGAATTATTTTGACTTTATGGGAGGAAATCGCCAACTTGAGGTTTCTGCTGACTAATCACAAACCCGTCTCATCGCACAGCAATTGGCTAATGAGTAATGCAGCACCTTTTAACATAGAAGCACTTAGGGAATGATATAGGTTATTAATAGGGAGTGGAGATTAATTAAAATTATAAGCTATTAGACTTCCCCCCTCTGAGTTTCAAAGGCATATGCGCCCGGGGAATGAATTTGTAAGAACACTTAGAGGTTGCTGGCAGGCACACATGTATCATACACCATGCATGCTCACACACTCACACACAGATACATTTGAATCTGCTTTTAATGAAACGGTAACTTGCCAAATAGTTTATAACAGGGAAATATAGAAATATCTGCACCTCAACATAGACAATAATTTCACACATGAAGAGGCTGAATCATATTAGTGGTAAAAACATCCATTAGTCTGTAAATACAACTTCACAACTCATTATACAGAGTTAGAGCGTTATTGCAGTTCAATGTATTTTAATGCTGAGCCAGTAGCAGACATACTTATAATCTTTCTCCTACTATATCTATATACCAACCCTTCCCTTTCTCTCTCTCTCTGTCTCTGTGTGTGTGTGTGTGTGTGTGTGTGTGTGTGTGTGTGTGCGTGTGTGTGTGTGTGTGTGTGTGAGTTGTCACCCAACAGAAGGAAAGGTTGGAGAAGCTGATTTAATTTAGAGCGGTATAAAGTGCAACACAAGTGTCCGCAGCAACACTGAATGATCTGGCATTTGTCTCGAGCAAACTTAATATGTAATATGTGTGTGGATCGGGGGGCAGAAGGCTTGCCTCGAGGGGGAGAAGCTAACTACTAAATATAAAGGAACTGGTGTGCATGGCCACTGTATAAGATTTAGTGTCATCTAGAGGTGAAGTTGCATATTGCAACTGGCTGAGTAGCCATCCCCCTCCGCTCCCTTTCCAAGCGTGTTGGCGAACCCACAGTGGTCTTCGGGTAACGTAAAAACTCAAAAGGTCCTCTCTAGATTAAGTGTTGGGTTTGTCTGCTCTGCGCTACTGTAGAAACATGGCAGTGCATTACATGGGGGGGGTCATTGGAAGAGGACGTGCCCCACCTGTGTGTGAGCTGCTCATTGTAAGAAATCGAAAACAGTGATTCTTAGTTCCAGGGGATTGAAAACATCATTATGATTATTACATTGAATCTAAAGAGACCCCCCTAAATCCTATGTAATGGTCCTTTAATTCCTACCAGTGATAGACGTGTTGTTATTTCTGACATGCCCTTGAGCAAAGCAGTTCCATATCTAGTGCAAAGACTCTGTCAAATCAAAGTATGCTTAAGTATTCCAAACCAGTGTCGTACTGATTCTTCATTGGTAACTTCAGATTAAGTGATCATTATAACCTAATAAACACAACCGGTGATGTGGTTATAAGATTCAATGTCACTCAGATAGATAATCTGATTTATTTACCTGGTCCAGTCATCCAGAAAATGGGCACAGATTTCATTGTTGATTTACCAGACTGACATTGCCGCCCACAGGCAGATCAATACATTCAACATAATCTAGTGTTAGCATCGCCCCAAGACAGGAGTTTGACCTGCAGTTGATGACTCTGCAGTTGTTGGATGCATTGATGTGGAGGATGTGTCAGAGAACCAGAGGGCAGTGGACAGTCTTCTGGACTGATGTGAATTTATGGACTGCAGCACCAGTGGACTTCTGGAGATTGAGGAGTCCTGCTGCTGTGCTTTTCTTTAGGGGGAGATGTTACAAGAGTACAAGCACAGGGGTGTCCCTTTGGCTCTACTGATTGGGATTCTTTTGAACCACGGTGCCAATCTGAGGAACCGTGCTGCAGGTGTTTCATGGGAGTTTGGTGACCAGAATCATTTTCTACACAGGACCAATTCTACTCACCAAGGTTAAGTGCTTCAGTTCTGGGGATGGAGCTGGACCCTGTGCATGTAGTCATGAGGAAGAGGAGGTTGTCACAAGTCTTGACCTTTATTTTCAATGTCTCCTACACTCTATACAGTGTTCATCTTAGCGAAAGGAGCACCTTCGGTTACAAACTCCAGAAGTGCTCCAGTTGACACCATTCGGGGGGGTCATTCTTCCTGCGGCCATCAAGTACAAGTTATCCATCAGTGCTCTGGTGTTAAACCACTATCAAATTACACTTTTCTCTCCACTACGTTTGCACATTGTTGTTAGTATCGACTAATAGGACAAAATGGTAATGTTCAAAGAAGTTTATCAGAAATTAACCACTTCACTATCATTCCACCTCACACATAACTTTGTGCACATTTGCATTTGTAAACTCCTCAATTCACTCACTTGTGTATTCATTTGCATTATTAGAAATTCATTTTAGTTTTTACATTTTATTTACTTCTACCTTTCTTGAAAGTTGAACAATTTCCCTGCAGGGATCGTTACCATTTTTATGATTCTGATTATATTCAGGGTTTAATCTGCTTCTGATCCAACGACACGGAGCGAGGCACTGAATGGTTTCATTATAGAAGGCACTTGTGGGCAGAGCTTAAAAGCCAATGAGGCTGCAGGGTGTTCTTGCTCTCTGCTCATTTGACAACAGCCCATTTTCCTCGCTTTGTGCAGATTGTTATGGAGGAGTCCTTAACACGCTTGATAAATATCACAATGATATGAATGCAATTGTAATAGTTAAAGGTCAGCAGTATACAGTACAACATATTTTCTCATTTACCCCCAGTGCTATCTATCCAGAGAGATGCTTTTGGTTTTATCTGCCCAGCTTTTGAGATAACCGTCTGAAATGTTTGACACAACCACACTAGAATGAAAGAGACACTATGTAGGGTGAGTGGAATTTCGTCTGGAGTGTATTAAAAAGATTATATCAAAAAGACAGTGGATATAAGTTTTCTTCTGCTTGTTTGTTTTGTATTTCGGTAGAACCGGCCCTTTAATGTATTTTTCCTGCACAAAGGAATGCATGAAGACACTGATTACACTTGTGCGTCCCCAATAATCTATTGAGTTTTCTTTTTGTACAAAAAGTCATGCCAATTTACATATCATTGCTGTAATGTCTTATCAAAGACTTTGGATAAACAAGGCTCATTGCAGAGACTTAGGTGCTACCCACTCCTCTCTTTCATACACACACACCCACTCGCACACTTGTTGTTTTAATAGATTTTCTGGTTTGGATCCACTGGGCTGATTTCCCAGAAATGTTGTGGTGCTCTCCATAAATGTGTGTGTTTGTGTGCGAGTGAGTGTGTGTGCACGTGTATTTGTTTCTGTGTGAGTGAGTGATAAAATACTTATACTTACCATACTTACTATAATAATAACAGACTTCTTGGGCTGGTAAGGCGAAATGAGAGATGGCAAGGAGTGTGAAAAAGAAGAAAGAAAGAAAAGTGAAGAAGGGAGACAGAGAAGGAGAAAGATAGAGAGTTGGAGTCATCTTTGTGAATGAAATACAAATCTGGATTTAACAATCTGGAAGAAAGAGGGATTTAGGACGTGATTGAGAGAAACAGATGGTGAAGTCAGTCAGTCGACATTTGATACATTTTATTCCACATGGAATCATTTCTCTGTCTCTGAGTCTGATGCTCTATTGTGCTCATGAAGACAACAATGTAATAGACCCAGGAGAAAGTGTGTCCACTTTGTGTGTTTGCTATTGCTTGTCCCCTCAAACTTGTATTTATGCCTGCCTGTGTTGGCCACAGCATGAGGACGTGGAAGCTTGCATAAATTTTGCAACCCTGGTTTTATTTCTGGTGAGAAATGAGTCACACATTCAGCGTAGGTTATAAAATATTACCTCTGCACTGTATGTGATTAAAACTTACGATTGTTTTTAAATGAAAAAATAAAACTTTATCTTGCTCTTAAAATGTAGAAACATCTTGGTTTGAAATACCAATGTCTCTGCAGATGTTTGGCACCAGGTTTAACAGCCTCAAGTCAAAGGTGAACTTGGGAAAGAGCTTGTGTTGCTTTTCTTCTCCTTTTCTTTCCTCCATTTACTTCTTCTTTTGTCCTCCCTGTCTCATTCCCTCCGCACCTCTTCATCCTTCCATTCTTTGGCTTAATGTCAGATGAGAGGGGATTAGCTTTGGTGGAGGGAAAACGTGACCATTGTTTTAGTGTGGGTGTGTGTGCTGTGGTATGTGTGCACTCGCTAACCTGGGAGCCATGACACAAAAGCTTCAGTAACCTTTATTTAAATCAATCAGTTAAGGTTTGAAATGAGTTTCAAAATGGACAGACAGTTTCATAGCAGCTGTACTCTTATTTGATGTTTACCCGTGTATGTGATGAAAATCACGGCTCGTTTCCACGCAGTTTTTTTTCTGTGTGCAGAAAATACCTGGAGCAATATCAACTTGGCTAATTAGTATTTATGCTAACTTCCAGAGCGCATACGTCTGAAATCCACCGCATTT